GTCAGTGCTCTAGGGATCTTTCTCTGATTCTTTCACTCTTTTGTTGATCACAGTGCAACGCCTATACTGACCATTTGTTGGCTACATGAACAATCCACCTCCTTTTCCCAGTCATTTATGTTCTTGAGGGTAGCTGTGGAGTAGTAGTATGAGTGCTGGATTTGGATTCAGAAGCCCTGGGTTTGAGACAGACTCTCCTACTTCCTAGCTGTATTAGGTAGGTCATTCTCCTCTGACCCACATCTGTGACAGAGGAGGTGGGATTGGATTAAGGGTGTACTGGTAAATGTTCAATAAGTTCCTCTTTGGAAAAAATGTATGCATGAAGTAAGGAAATGAACATTTATTAATTTATGTATTTGTTAAATACATAGAAAATACCTATTACGTGCTGGGCACTGTGCTAAGCACTTTACAAATATTATCTCATTTGATCCTCACATCCACCCTGGGGGATAGGTGCTATCCCTGTTTTTCAGGTGAGGACATTGGGACTGACAGAAGTTAAATGACTTGCCCAGGGTCACACAATAAGTTTCTAAGGCCAGACTTGAGGTCAGAGTCAAACATTTTTAAATTTAATATGAATTATTAACATTAAGCCCTAATTTGTGGTGTTTTCTGATTTCTGAGGTATACACTCACACTGACAACTTAACAATTGGTTCTAGCAATCTGGTGGGTTCAGGCTGGGCCTGGAGTCAGGAAGACTGGAATTCAAATCCAGTTTCAGATACTACTTGTGTAACCTCAGGCAAGTCATTTAAATCTGTTTGCCTCAGCTTCCTCACCTGAAAAATGGGGTTAATAGTAGCCCTACCTCCCAGGGTTGTTGTGAAGATCAGATGAGATAATAATTGTAAAATCCTTAGCATAGTCCTGGGCACATGGTAAGTGCTATATATACATATTAGCTATCATCAGTATTATTATTATTATTAGTGGTAACAAGCTGGTTCAATCATACCCCTAAACTACATTATCTCCAAGGTTGCTTAGAATTGCTCCAAAGCAGATGATCCTGTTATCATTAATATCACTTGGTCAGGAGCAGATAATATTTAGTAATTTGCTTCAGACTATGTAGTGCCTTCCATATGTCTTTTCATTGTCCTTTGGGTCACCTACAATTTTGATTCTTTTGAAATGGGGATGTTTTATGATTCTCAACCATAGGGCATCATCATCAGAATACTTGCATTAAAGCATGGGCTTTGGCAGCAAAGAGAAGCTTGGGATCGTTGGAAGCACCCCTGAATAATTTCCCAGATACAATCCAGCCTGCTCTTCTCTTCCATTCTGAGTCCAATTCATTGTCTCTTTGTATATGTACAGGTAAATATAATACAAACTAGAACATGATAAATGCATAAATAAAGCTACAAAGTGGTACGAGTGAGAGGTTACTTCCAGTTGAGGATATCAGGGGAAGCTTTGCAGTAGAGATATAAGTTCTTAGAGGCTAGGGATATTATCTTTTATTTTGCCTTAATATTATGTTATCAGGGGATAGCTAGGGGGCACAATGGATAGAGTGTTGGGCCAGGAGTCAGGAAGACATCTTCCTGAGTTCAAATCTGGCCTAAGACACTTACTTAGCTGTGTGACCCTGGGCAAGTCACTGAATCCTGTTTGCCTCAGTTTCCTCATCTGTAAAATGGGTTGGGGAAGGAAGTGGCAAATGACTCTAGTGTCTCTGCCAAGAAAATCCCAAGTGGAGTTATGGAGAGTTGGATACAACTGAAAAACAACTTAACAACAATTATTGCGTGTGTGTGTGTGCGTGTGTGTGTGTGTGCACGCGGATTTTGTTTGGCTCACATAGATTACATATATCCACATAGGTCTGTCTTGATGATCTTCACAGGGAGGCAAGCACAGACATCTCCAACATCTCCTCCTCCTCCTGCTCTTCTCCACAGACTTTGATTGGGCTGGAATTAAATCTCTCTGCTCTCTTAAACTGTTAGTCTAGGAGGAATAACTAAGATTCAAGCTAAACTCCTGACTGCCGTTCTTTAATGGGGAAAGGAGAACCCCAAGCTCTCTATATCCATGGCTTGATCCCTTTCTCAATAAATACCAGTTTCACAACAAACATATATAGCAAACAGCAAAGAAACCCATTTATCCAAGTCAATACCAAAACAAATTGGAAAACAGTATACAGGGAAAATATATACCAGAAAACACAGGGTGAAGAAGTTCTTCCATTGAGAGAGAGATAATACCTCAGTTCAACAAAGAGAGAACATTTCAGATCTCACTCAGCTGGAAGTTTCCTAAAGTTTTTAGGAAAGTAAGCTGGGGATAGGGACATAATAGAGACTGCCAGTTCCTCTCCTGCCACCTTATTCCCAGGGTCTTTCCTTCCCTTCAAGGACCTGAAGAGAGGATGGAGTTGCACATCTTCTCTCTTGATGCTGGAAACCAGAAGAACTTAGGATTTCTCTCTTCCACTTTAGCCAGCTCCAAGGTGTGGAGCACTAAATAATCAATCTGCACCAATGAGGAGAGAGTCTCATAAAATTGGCCCTTCAAGCCAAGGCCTGAATCAATGTACAGAATCAACTGAATGCAGATAATTAATATAATTGATAGTAATTAGAAAGGTTTGCCTAAATAGGCCAGGGAAATAAAGGAAGATGAGAGGTTAAATAGAGTAGGATAAAAAACTGCCAAATTTAAACAATGTAAATGTAATGACAAGCTACTGACGCCATAAAATTGGTTTCTTATTTATTAAGAAAAATGTATTAAATCACATTTTCAGAATTTTTAGTATGGGAGTAGAAGGTGATACTACTAACTTAAGATTCAGGACTGGGCTTGAATCAGGCTAGACTCTTGGTAGTTTAGAATCAATATTGGAAGGAAACGAAACACTCAGACCATTCAACAGTTAACAAAAGGAGACTTACTGTTACAGCATGGCAGGAAAAGGATCTCAACAAGGGCAAGCAGTGAGGACACTTCAAGTTGATTCACCTGAGTGAACGTCCCTTTCCTGAGTTGTTCCTCTTTTTTCCCACCAGGCAAGCATCTGTGAGGGGCCTGGAGCTCCCCTTGGCTGTTTAGTACTCAGACAACCAGGAAGTGGTCAATAGCATGGGCCAACCAAGTCTCGATACCTTTTAATGAAAAAATAGACTAACTCGCATGGGGCCCAGTGTTAGGATATTGCTGCGGTCTGGAAATACTGACTAGAATCTAGAATCGCAGAAATTTGCCTGACATATTATTCCACAATGGTTCTAAAAAACTCTTACCGGATTAGAAAGATGCAGCTGCATTTTGGCTATAGAGAAGGCAGGCTGGTAAAGGTGAGAGAGTCCAAGTAACAACTAACTCGAGATTTTGGTGGTAGGGATTGAAAGGACTAGTGGGCTATGCTGAGAATGAAGAAGTGGTTGGATTGTTGGATTTGGAAAAGAGGAATGAAAAGGTAAAAGTGATTGTGATGCTCAGTATCTCAGCAACAGTTAGCATTTCTGTAAATGCTAGGCTCTTTAAGACAAACTACAGTTCAAATACAAATACATTAGTTGAAGAAAAAAGCGGTAACCGAATTAGAGATTAATTTGCTGAGGTTAGTTGGTTAAGAGTTAAGATGCAGGCATAGCAGCTTCCTCCTGTTGCAGTCAGCATCCTACCCCTCTCCCACCAGTCTTTCAAATGTGTGGCTTTGATTACAAAGACCTTGGGCCAGGGCATGGACTGCTTTCCGTTTCCATCTTTTTTACCCCAGTACCTAATTTGGCCACTGGAAATTTTTGAATGAATGAATGAATAATAGCTCCATGCAAGTCGTTACTGGGAAGATTAAATTAATTCTTACTGTAGTAATGGTGGATGAATCGTATCATCTTGTACTGGAAGGATAGCACTCACAAAAAAAATCCCAGAGGTAAAAAGATTAAGAAGCCTGGCTGAATCATAAGAGGGTACCAACTTTTAGGGTTGTTAAAGCATCGTAAGCCAACACAAACCAACTAACAGCCTTGGAGTATATTACGTCAGGGGGGTTAAGTATGTTCTGGAGGAAAAAGATGACACACAAAGTGAAAAATTAACCCAAAATACTCTTTACAGATGTATTTTATTGCTGGGGATACGAGAAACTTAGGCCTAGAAAAGTGCTGAAGGACCACAGTGCTAGTTAGTGGTAGAATAGTAATAATAAAATTTATATAGTACCTACTATGTGCCAGGCACTGTACTAAATGCTTTACAATTATTATCTCATTTGGTTTTCACAACTTTCCTGGGAGGTAGATAATATTATTCCCATTTTATAAATGAGGAAACGCAGGAAAAGAGTGGTTAAGTGACTTGCCCACAATCGCCCAGAATCACACAGCAAGTTAAGTAGAACTGAGAACAGGATCCAGTGCAGCACTCTTTCCTAAGGACCATAATGAATAAATGTATTTTTTCTTCCTTCCCTCATCGGGTGTGCATGCCCTTCGGGGTTAAGCAGCTGTGGCAAGAGAAATATACTAAGATTAATGAGAACCAAAAAAACAAGCGCTCCGTCCAAAATAATTTCATCATCCCGGCCTGTGGGTGGAGCAAGTTATTAAAGTTGGTCGACTCTCCGCTGTCTCATAACCAGGCCGCTGCATAATCCAAGGAAGGAGGACTTATTGGGAGTACACGGACGAGAGCGAAGACCTGATGCGAGGGCTTCGGAAACAGAGAAGGCAGGACCGTCTGCCCAGACGTAGCAGGGAAAGAGCCAGGAAGGACCACGTGTTGCAAGAAGCGGAAGACTCTGGAGCTGGAGGAGGCAAAGGAGCCCCGCCCCCGAAACGCGGCCTCGCGCCGCTGGCCCGCCCCCTCCCTCGCGCGCTCTCCCTCGGGGCTTGGCCAGCCAATGGGAGGGGAGGGGGCGTTGCTCGGGAGCTGCGGCTGCGGCGGCTGCCTGGGCTCCTGCGGGCGGCCGGGCCCGCCTGTTCCGCCGCCACCGTTGTGCGTGGTGCTGGGGCGACGGAGTCGCGCTTAATCCCTCCCTCCCTCCCTCCGCTGTCCCCGCCTCCCGCTACCGTCAGCCTCGGTCTCCCCTCGCGCCGGGGATCTCTGTGTCAAAGCCGCCCCCTCAGCAAGGTGAGGCCCCGTGGGGGGATCGCAGGTCGGGCGCGCCGGCCTCCGTCGCTTCCCGGGGCTAGTGTGCCGCGAGTCTTACCCAGGCGGGGCGAATGAATGAGGAGCCGGCCCTCGGTGTAGGCCGCACGGCCTGGCGGGCCGCGTCCTTCCCCGGCCCGGGCGTGCGCACATGGGGTGGCAGGCCGGGCCTGGGCCGGGGCACGTCGCCTCGCAGGCTGCCTGCCCTGTGGGAGCTGGATCTGGGGTGTGGGGGGCGGACAGGTGGAAGGGCCGAGGACCCGGCGGGGGGCCGCGGGGAAAGGAGCCGGGGAGACTGAGGGGCGATCCCTCCTGTGAACCCCGGGAGAACGGCTCTCGAGCCGGGACACAGGGTCCCAGAAGAGGGAACTTGTCCTTGTAATGAGAGCCTCAAATAAGTGACACGAGACAGCTGTGGGCCCTAGTGAGCAGCCGGTGCACGATCCCGTCTGGGGGAGAGGCAGTGCACCAATCAGACCTGGACTTGGGCAGTGACTGGCATCGATGAGACCCTTTTCAAACAAGCGAAACATAATGATGGATTGAATTTAGGGAGTAGGTTGCAGGTACTAGGATTTGGAGCTGGAAAGGACCTTAGGACACAGGTAGAATAGGGGACCTTAGTTCCTGCAGCAAAAGAGCATTCTCTTTGGGCACCAAGGGATGCATAACACATAAAGTTAGAAGGGACCAAAAGCTTATTTTTAGTATCTGACCATATATGGGGAAGGTTTAGGTGTGAAGGTCAGAGTCCATAGAATGGTGGCTCCTCAATATAATATGCTAAATAATGACGGTATAGGTAGGGACTAGCCTTATAGACTTGCTAATATTTCTTTTAATGCTTTCTTCTACTGTGTCTCACTTATTAATAGAGCCACATGTCAGGTTTGCAAATAGCCAAGCCATCACACTGGTCCAGGAGGAGAGTTGTAGCAGAGTTTTTAAATCCGACTCTAGCTATTGGTGATAAGCCTTTCTAGGACTTCCACAGGAGTAGTTGCAGTTAGAACAATCAGATCTCTTGAAAGGACTTTTTTTTTTTTTTAAGGCAGTTGGGGTTAAGTGACTTGCCCAGGGTCACACATCTAGTAAGTGTCAAGTGTTTCGTCTGCGGTCGGATTTGAACTCAGGTACTCCTGACTTCAGGGCCGGTGCTCTAGCCACTGCGCCACCTAGCTGCCCCTTGAAAGGACTTTGTTTAGTTAGCTATATGCAGTTGTCATTTTCTAAGATTATTGTATTTCCTTTTTTATTGTGCTGTTGTGATGATTCTCTAAAAGTATGTCATACATTTGGTGGAATATGTGTATGTTTTGGTGGAGGGGACAAAGAAAAAAGCCTTGATTAAATGTTACATTTTGATGTTTCAGATGCCCCCAAAAAAGGGAGGTGATGGAATTAAGCCACATCCAATCATTGGAAGGTTTGGGACTTCATTGAAAATTGGTATTGTTGGATTACCAAATGTTGGGTAGGTGAACAGTGAGCTTTACGTCTTTTATTTCCATCTTGTAAATCTTTTATGTTTTAATGTTATTCATAAATGACAACATACATAAAGTGCTTTGCAAACTTTAAAACATCATATAAATGTTAGCTATTATTATTAGCTATTATACTGTTTTCCCTTCCACATTACTGGGGTTAGGGGTGTGGAGCCTTGATCTGGAAAATCTGCCTAAAATCTTTTGGCCCTCCCTTCATACCAGAGAAGTCTGAATTATTATGGTATTAAAAGATAAAATATGTGGATATATTTTATGCATTTCTGAGTTTCTAAACTTTTTCTGTGTCATCTACTGGCCTTTGCTTGTCATTTCTGGCTTCTGCAAAACTCTCCAAAAATTCCCATTTAATTTCTCTTGCTGAGTCACTGTATATCGAAACCTTGATGGGGAAAATTGTGGTGTGGAAGGGATAACTGTGTATCACAGGCAGTATGTGTTACAATGAAGTGGCCTTGCAGCTAGAAAGACCAGGGTTCAAGTCTGGCCTCTGACATACTGAATATGTGACTATGGACAACTTATTTGAGCACTAGGAAACTTTTAGACTTCAAGTTGCTGTGAAGGTTTTAACCTACATTGGTAGATGGAATTTCCTTATCTGGGAATCCCTGATACCAGGGAAATCACAAGTGCAGTCCCTATGTCTGTTATATATCAAAACTCAGGAATTAACTAAAATTTACAGTGTTGGTAGATGCTAAGATAGACAAATGTGAGTAGCCTGTGATTTAATTAACTTTATTTTAAAAATTAAATGACTATTGTGTTTGGATTTCTGCTTTTGTTCATGGGTGCTGTCAAAACTTATTTTGGCTTGGAAAAAGTTACATTTCAGCAGTTTGAATTGCTTAAAATACTTAATGGAAACATATACACATGTATATTTAGCTATAAATTGGGAAGCTTTCAAAAATGTGTAGATATATTTTATTTTGACATAATAGTTCTGGATTTGAAATCAGGAAGACCTAGCTTCAGATCATACTTCACTTACTAGCTGTGTTTTCCTAGGTAAGTTGTTTAACCTCTCTTGCGTAAATTCTTCATCTGTAAAATGATGAATTGGACTAGATGGCTTTTAAGGTCTCTTCTTACTTACTGTGATCCTATAGACTTTCAAACTGCTCTACAAAGTATGTTCTTTAAAAACTTTTCTACACTAAAAAGTATATTTCCTAACAACAGTTAAGCAAAACTGCCTGATAATTGTACTCGTGACTGATAATAGCTGTCGTTTTCCACTTCAGTTGGTCTCTGGTTTTTAACAGGAGAAATGTATGCTTAACCTTTGATAATAGGGTTTTGTTGCATTTGGCCTGAGTTTTGTTTCTATTAGTGTTGACTTTATTTATGTTATGGTGATCATTATTGACATTGTACTTTTTATAATATTTTCTTCACTATAGAATTATAGAATCTAATTATAGAATTATAGGATTTAGACTTGAGGGAAGCTTAGAGGTTATCTAGTCCAGATGAGGAAAGTCCAGTTACCGATGAAGAAACTGAGGACCAGAGAGGTTAAATAATTTGTCCAGGGTAAACAGTTACACAGTAAACCAAAGATAGATTTCTTTCTGGTTTGTATACACTGTCCTTCCTTGCTGCTTTGCTTCCTTACCACTCACTAATTTCTCAAGCCTTTAAATCTGATTTTCAAACCTACCACTCTATGAATTTTTTTTTCTAGCAGTCATCTTTTAACTGATATGTGTGTGTATGTATGTATGTATCTACTTGTCTGTCTACTTACCTACCTACTTATCTGATAAATTGAGGTTGTCTTAGAGGGAAGGCACTAAGATTAAGGATGACTGGGAAAGGCTTCTTTTAGAAGGTGAGACTTTAGCTGAGACTTGAATTGAGTCAGGAGGTAGAGATAAGGAAGGAGAGTGTTCCAGGCATGGGGGACATGTATGAGAAACCATGGAATTCTCTTAATGCACAGTTTATTTTTTAAAAGTCTTCAGTTAACAAACATTTATTAAGCACCTACTGTGTGTTAGGCACTGTTTTTAACCCTAGCTGTACAAAGAAAGGCAAAAAACAGTTCCTGCTCTAAAGGAACTCATAGTCTAATGGGGGAGATAATAGGCAAATAGCTCTTTACAGACAAGATATAAACAGGATATTGTACATTGGAGATACATCATCAGTGGGAGGGCACTAGCATTAACGGGAAATTAGGAAAGGCGAATAGCTAGGACTTCAGGTGAGCTAGGGAAGATAGGAGATGGAAATGATCAGAGAATATTACAGGTATGGAAGACACAATGAAAATGCTCAGAGTTAATGAACAACCAGGAAGCTAGTGTCATTGGACTGGAGAGTATGAGGGAAGAGAGTAAGGGGTAAGGAGACTGGAAAGTTGAAAGGGGCCATGTTATAAAAGGCTTTGAACTCCAGAGGATTTTATATTTAATCCTGGAGGTGATAAGGAGCCACTGAAGTTTATTATTCCTTAGCTATAAAACGAGAGGGTTTGACTAGTTGACTTCTAAGGACTCATCTAGCTCTATATCTATGATCAATGATGATTCCTTGCTTTCCTTGACAGTGGTCTTTACTGGGTTGTCAAGTGAGGAATTTCTTCATGCAAATCTTTGCATGTTTCTGTGAAATCTTTATAATCATTCCTTACAGCCCAGTAATATCCATTATGTTCATATACTATAGTTTGTCTTGCCATTCTCCAGTTGTGGACATGTGTTTTGTCTTTTGTAATTGCCTAGATCTTTAGGTTTCACATTACTTTGTAAATTCCCTTTGGTCAAGAGAACAGATCTTAGAACCTGCACTTGTGAACCTAAGACAATTTGGAGCTGTATGTGGGTCAGGTAAAAGATGGCATAAATTGAATTGTGACTAAGAATTGTTTTGTGAGTTTATTGTTCATTATATCTATTTGCTGATGTATGTTGGTAGAAAATATTTCTGGGATTTTATTCATATTCACATGTATGCATCTTTTTTTTTTTTTCCGGCTAGGCAATGGGGGTAAGTAACTTGCTCAGGGTCACACAGCTAGTAAGTGTCAAGTGTCTAAGGCCGGATTTGAACTCAGGTCTTCCTGACTCCAGGACCGGTGATCTATCCACTGCACCGTCTACCTGCCCCATATGTATGCATCTTAAAGTTTCACTGCATTTTTTCTAATTAGGACTACATAATGTTTTATTGAACTAAAAACTCCCACAGAAACTAAATGTCATAGAATGACTGTATAGCAGTTAAAAGCAATCAATAGGGAAGTTCCAGGTAGGTAGGCTGTCTTGATGAAAGAAAAGCCATTTATTAACTATTTACTATGTTCAAAACACTGTGAAGCACTGGGGATACAAATAGAAAAGCACAATAGCCCTTTCTGTCATGGAGCTCACATTCTGATAGAAGAGACAATACACATAGGAGTGTTTGGCTGCAAGTCAGATAGAAAGACCAGTCATCTTTTGGATGCAGTAGCAAAGCAGTGGGCAATATATCTTCTTTAATGTCATTTCCAGTAATAAATCTGTTTCTGATGCTGAATCACTTGACAGTGCCAAGAATATTAGTGTTAAGAATTTTTTGAGAAGGTTCTTCAATAGTGGTGGCAGTTGAGGAGGTGGAGGTAGTTGTTGCAGAATCTCTTGACAGGTTGCATGCATCTCTACAAGGTTATTCCCTGGAGTAATCTTGCTATGGCACCTTGCTGGCAGTAGAGTTCATTTTTTTGGAGAGCACTGCTGCTCCTGAAATTGCTATTGATGGGCAGATGGATTGTGGTAGAGATTGGCGAACCTCTTCTTAGCAAGGGTTGCTCCTCTGGACAATAGCTGAGGGAGACTGGTTGGCAGTAGGGTTAGTAGTCTGGAGGTTAAAGCAATTTCCAGGAGCTTTTGGGTTCTGGGTCCTAGGTTCTCTCCAGGTTCTAAGGAGAGGTAGTAGGTTGGTTTGATTTGCTTGGCACATGCCACCTTTTGTTTCTGTCTTAGGATGCCTCACTGCCTCTGCTATGTTGGTTTGTTTATCCTTTCACTGGTAGTTTCTATGTAGCAGATAGCAAGATCAGCAACAAGAATGACCTTGATAGTAATCTAGTGCCCTTTGAGGCAGAGACTCCTTTATATGATTTCTTCCCATGGGTATTGTGTAGGTAGAACTGGAGGTGAAGTGGGAGATGGCTGCAAGTAGGATGGAGGGCCAGGAAGCTTTTCCCAGGAAGCCTTCCCTTCTCCCTTCCCCCTTCTCTTCCCCCTTTCCCCTTCTCTTCCTCCTTCCTCTTTCCCCCATTCTCTTCCTCCTCCCTTCCCTTTCTTCTTCCCCTTCCTCTTCCTCCTTCCTGTTTCCCTTCCCTTCCTTCTTCCCCTTCCCCTTCCTCTTTTTACCTTTCCTCTTTCTACATTCTCCCTTCCCTTTTCCCTTCATTCCCCCTCTCCCCATCTGTTTTTGACCCTCTTTTTCCATTTGATTGCTTTGGAATCTTACTTATTCTTGGCTTTAATTAACAACTCTGTGTAGAAGACTCTAAAAATCAATATCTCTAGTCTTGACATGTCTTCTGAGCTGAAGACTTGCACCACCATGTACTTTCAGAACTTCTCTATTTGGATTTTCTGCCACCAACTAAACATGTCTAACATAGAGGCTCTCTTTTTGCCTCGAGCCCCAATTCCTTCCCCTAACTTAATTATTTCTTTCCGTGATACTACCATTCATCCAGAGCACAGAATATAGAGCTGGAAGGATCCTTAGGGGTCATCTAAGTACTTATATTCCATCTAGTGGATCTACCCTGAATAAACTCATTATCCTTATGACTTGCCAGACCCAAACTCTCCTTCCCTGGACATCATTCACCTATATGTAGGGCAGAGACTATCTCATTTTAAATTTGGAATACAAGCCCTTAGCACAGTACATCGTACATAGTAAATACTGAAAGGGCTTTTTATTCATTAGTATTTCAGATGAGAAAACCAAG